TCTATCAGGTTTGGAGTAAAGGTGCTAATTTTACATCTACGTACAGCCTGCCAGAATTCTTTTGAATTCCTTACCCCGGCAAATCTATTCTTCAATTCTTTGTAATAGTCAGCTTTTCTATTGGCGATTGAGAGTTTGTATTCTTTTTTTACTTTGAGATACTCAGCTTGCAGTAAGTTGTTGTTCATATCCGAATTTTTAATCTTCCGAAGCAGTTTTTGAGCTTTTCTTTTATGGACCAGAATATCTTTATTGTACCAAGGGGCATGAAACCTCCGCACATTGGATCTTTTTACTTCTTTCCACATTCCGGTTTTCAGAGCCGCCTTTTGAATTGCTGTCGATAGGATATTACTTTGCTCATCCACTGATAAATTGTCAGTGTTTGTAAAGGCTTCMACTCGTACACTTAAATTATTTAATAGGTCTTGGTATTCAGCARGCTTGCTCGGTTCCCATATGAATTTTGGTTGCTTAATGTATTTTGTACTTTTTTCCTGTTCATTATTTGCATATTCTCCAACGTTGAGTGGCAGTTGCAGACTCACTCCAATTGGGAAATGATCCGATCCCGTAACAGTTTGCAATACCTCAAAATTTTCTRCAATATCCATRAACTGCGTATTGATCCAACATAAATCAATTGTACTTTGACCGTTATKGTTCTCAAAAGTATACTCGCCCTTTAGATCTCTTATCGTTCGGCCATTTAACAGAATAAAACCATTACTTTCCATAAAATTATTTAGTTCTGWACCCCGTGAATTTACTTTGAGATCTTTAGAATTTCTCTGATTACTAAGCACAGTATTTTCTACAACCTCCGCCTCAAGGTCACCGATCGAGCCAAGTCTTGCGTTGAAATCGCCTGCAATTACGATTGGAACATTTTTATAGTCCSYCATAATTTCGTCTAAAATTAGTTGTAACGATTCTAGCGCAATGTTTATATCATAATTCAGTTTCCAGTAGATGGTTCCTAACACATAATTTACATCCCTTTTACGGACACACACAAAGACATACATTTCTGATTTTCCTATTAACAACATATCGTAATCCTTATTACTTAAAACCATAAAACCACCACTCGCACGGCCAGTACTTTTTTCTTTGACTGCTTCTGAGTATTCGTAGTTGTAATTGTCCCAAGGCGCCGGTGCCGCTACTATCTTCTGCGAGACCCATGTCTCGCAAATGCCTAGAAAGTCAGGTTTTGTTGGGAAGCTCACTGTGCCTAGGTTTCGTATCCCGTAGATGTTCCAGAAGATTGCTTGGAATACTGGGGTCGGAAAGGGAGCCATCCTTTGTCGTTTTTTCTCTGCTGACCTTTGGGTTGGTTTTTAGCCACTGGCTGGATATTGTTAGAGTCAGCCTGCCAATGGAATAGTTGTCCGTCGATCTCGATGGTTTTATTACGTATCGTGGCTCTCTTTCCTGCCTTYTCGGCTTCTTTGGMTCTAGCTCTTAWGCTCAGGAAGATCTTCCGATCTTCTGGTGTGCGATCTGGCTCGATGTATACATCTTTTCCGTTTAGCTTTTCTTTCTTCAGTTTTAGAATCGTACGTTTAATATCGGATGACTTCAGTTGGACAACAACGATGGGGCGAGTCCTAGGTTTAGACACTATTCTCGCTGAGAGCACCTGGTCTTCAACACCGAATGTGACTTGTAAAAAGTGTTGACTTCGGACAACAGAGTCTGGGTTCTTGMACGAAGGCCTTTAATTAYGATATTATCTCTTCTACGGTTTCTTTCCATCTCGTTTTGCCAGGTAGCTACCTTCTTAACTCTTTTGCACACTTCCGCGTAAAGGGGGATTGGTGGATTGGAATTTGATGTTTCTTCTAATGCCTTGATTCTACCCTCCATGTCTATGATGTATTGGTCTTCCCAGGGACTTTTCTCTAGTTTGTCGAGTCTTGCTCTCGTATCGTCTTGGAAATCTTTGGTTTCCTGTTGGAAGACACTGAAACTTTCATCCCGCTTTTCTATATCGGCTTTCAAGCTCTCTATTGATTTTTGGAATTCTTGTAGCTGCATAGAGATAGTCGTGATGATGTTCCCTGACATAGCGTCCAGGTAAGCTTTAAGTTCCGGGGCTAGAGCTTTTGGCAGTGAGCTGTTTTCGCTGTCCATGTTGTGACTGTCT